TTTATTTTTGAAAGAGAAACAGTGTGATAGGGGAGGGGCAGAGAGGGAGAGAGACAATCTCCTGAGCCATCCAGGCACCCATGAGAATTTGTTTTTGATATCAAGAACTAAGTAGTACCTTTTGAAAGAGATTTGATATTTGTAGCATGGTTATGATTTTGTTTTTGAGAAGAAATATTGTCCACAGAAAGAATATATTTGCCATCTGTTAAGCTTTCAGGTTGAGGTGTTCTGAGCTTAGGGTAAAGATCACAAATTAAATTCTAATACTTAAGAAGTAGAGTAGGAGACAGGAAATGTCTATTTTAAGAACTAGCTGAGGAAGCCTTCAACAAATCACTATAGAATGTTACATAAATAGAAACGCCCTGCCTGTATTTACAAACCCACTTTGTAGTGCCCTCTGAACAGGCTGTATTCTTCAGAATAGTGACTTTAAAAAAAAAAAAAGATATTGGGGAAACCTAGTACAGTTGTTTGAATAACAATTTAAATTTACTATTGAAATACATTCAGGTTTTCATAGGAAAACAAAGGCACTAGATTTCAGTTAATTATTTTCAGTTACTGGTTATGTTTTAATGTTACTGTACACCAGAAAACTGAGAAATTGTTATTTAAATGCCATTAATTAGACTAGTAATAGAGGTTGCAGAAGGCAGAATATTCAAACCAACATTTAACAACACTTGTTGAAAAGCATTTTGTCACTCATTATGACAATGCTGGGAAAGTAAAACCTAACCAATATCCCGTCTGTCAAGGAACAGGTAAAGGAGTCTGAGTCTATTTCCTTTTCGTGCTCTGCATATGAAGTACTTGTTCATTCTCCTGACCGCCAACATTTACTGTAGGCAATAACCTCCTATTTTACTATTCCACCTTATGGAGAATATAAAAGCCAATAGATGAATGCCCTTAAGTACTTGTCTTCAAATTTATCTCTATATGTTGATTATCCTTTCTCTCTCTCTTAAGTACCCAAACATTTGCTTCTGGATTCCAGACTCCTCTTTGCAGTATTTCCTCAATATTTTTAACTTTTCTCTTTCTTAGTGACCTCTTCATTTCAGCATTCAAAGATGTTTATTACTTTCATCTTTAAAAAAATAAACTCTTACTCTATTTCTCACTATTCCCTTTTGCAACCAAATCTCTCAGATTGTATTATATATCATAATTCTTCATTTTCCATCCACAGCACAGGCCACTCTTGCTCTTTCTCCTTGCCCCACTGATAACACCAGTGTTACTCTAAGATCACTAGTGATGTCCTAGGTGCTCAGTATTTATTGAATGAAAGTAATGCACATTTCAGTCCTTAATCTTGAAGTTTTGGCAGCATTTCAGCATTGTCATGGTGGAGTATTTCTTGAAATAACTCTTTTTCCACAGGCGCCTGGGTGGCTTAGTCAGTTAAGCGTCCGACTTGGGCTCAGGTGCCCCATGTCAGGCTCTGTGCTAACAGCGCAGAATGGAGCCTGCTTCAGATTGTGTCTCCCTCTCTCTCTGCCCCTCTCTCTCCCTCTCTCTCCCTCTCTCTCCCTCTCTCTCTCTCTCTCTCTTTCTCTCTCTCACACACACAAACATTAAAAAAATTTTTTTTAAATAATCTTTCTTAAAGTCCTTTTATATCCTTTTCAAGTTTATTGAATGCTAGGATTCCTCAGCATATTGGTCATATTTTTTTCCTCATGGTCTCCTGTTTACTTCCATGGTCTTATTTACCACATATATTCTGACAACTCATTTTTATCACCAGTTTAAGCATCAAATCTGTATAGCCTTTGGTACTAAATGTCTTCACTTGGGAGCTTAAATTAAAAAAAAAAAAAATTAAAAGTTTGAGTGTTTGCTATTTACCAGACAAAGAGCTAAGCACTTTTCATTTATCTAATTTGGTCCTTTGAGATAATAAATGAAAAGTGCTTCGTTCTTTGCCTGATAATTTCCCCATTTTTATAATAGAACAGTTCTCAGTCTCTAGTAAGCATCAGAATCACCTAGAGGGCTTTTTAAAATGCAGATTTCTGGGCCCCACCACCACAGTATCCTGATTCAGTAGGTTTGGGATAGGTTCTGAAAATTACATTTCTAGCAAGTTCCCGGATAATGCTGATGCTGCTGATTTAGGAGCTATACTTTGAGAACCACTGCGTTAGAAAAGCAAAATAAGCTGCTTCACAACTGTCACACAGCTGGGAAGTGGCACAGATGAGATTTGGTCCCAGGCGGTATCTAGAGTTTACCCATTTAACCCCTATTCCTACTCCAAACCTATTATTAAATTACCTCTTTCTTAGGTATGTCAAACTCAGTATCTTCATAACTATGTAAGCCTCCAAAACTGGTCCTCTACCCACCAGAGTTTCCTAACTGCCTTTAGTATAGGCTGGAAATTTCCCTCATTACCTTCAAACCCTGCCTTTTCCATATTCAGTCTGTCACCAAGCACTATTGGTTCTTCCTCCACAAAGTTTCCTTACTTATCTACTTTCCCCCATTTGTTGCTCTCGTCAGTCAAGGCCACCATCAGTTCTTACCTGAATTTCTAAAATAGTTTCCTAGCTAGTCACCTTTTTGCCCTCTTTTAATTAATTCATATAATACCAGGATTTTTTTTTAAGGTAAATGAAATTAACACCTTGTTTAAAATCCTTCTATTGCTTTTAGACTATAGGCCAGAATCCTGACCATGACCTGCAGGGCTCTGTATGACCTATCTGCACCTGCTTGAGAGGACCAATATATACTCTTCTCTCCTTCATTATGCAAATATGTAATCCTACTGGCTTCTTAGACCAGACCATAAATGCCAGATCCATTCAGTGATTTGAGGTTTTATAACTATGCACTAGAACCATTACTAGGTGGAATTCCATTGTGTAAGTGTACCACAGTTTCATTTGCCCACCATGGAGTTTTTTGGTTTTTTATTTTTGAATCAAGTATCTGCTTATGTAAAGAGGAAGGATTTCTCTTTTTGTTATTAAAAAAATTTTTTTATCTTGAGTGTTGGGAAGCTAGATCAATAAGTACGGAGTGGTATTATCAAAAATGAATCTTGGGGGACGCCTGGGTGGCTCAGTCGGTTAAGCGTCCGAATTCAACTCAGGTCATGATCTCGCGGTCCGTGAGTTCGAGCCCCGCGTCGGGCTCTGGGCTGATGGCTCAGAGCCTGGAGCCTGCTTCAGATTCTGTGTTTCCCTCTCTCTCTGCCCCTCCCCCGTTCATGCTCTGTCTCTCCCTGTCTCAAAAATAAATAACCGTTAAAAAAAAATGAATCTTGGAAGTAGAGGACAGATTGTCCATAAAAAGTGGCATTTAAAAAAAAAATTTTTTTTTTCAATGTTTATTCTTGAGAGAGACAGCATGAGTGGGGGAGGGGCAGAGAGAGAAGGAGACACAGAATCTGAAGCAGGCTCCAGACGCTGAGCTGTCAGCACGGAGCCTGATGCTGGGCTCGAACTCACAGACCGCAAGATCATGACCTGAATGGCCTGAGCCAAAGTTGAAAGCTTAACCGACAAAGCCACACAGATGTCCCCAATTTTTTAAAAGTTTATTGAGAGAGATAGAGGCAGCAGGAGCAGGAGAGGGGCAGAGATGAAAAGAGAGAGAATCCCAAGCAGGTTCTACCTTACATGGGGCTCAAATCCACAAAACTGAGATCATGACCTGAGCTGAAACCGATAATCAGATGCTCAGCTGACTGAGCCATCCAGGAGTGCCAAAAGTGGCATATTTAATGTTTATTTTTGGGGCTCCTGGGTGGCTCATTCAGCTGAGCGTCTGACTTTGGCTCAGGTCATGATTTTGCAATTTGTGAGTTTGAGCCCCACATCTGCTCTGCACTGACAGCTCAAAGCCTGGAGCCTGCTTTGGATATTGTCTCCCTTTCTTTCTGCCCCTCCCCTGCTTGCATTCTGTCCCTCTCTCAAAAATAATAAACATTAAAAAGTTTTTTTTAAGTTTATTTTTGAGAGAGAGCGTGCCTGTGCACACGAGTTGGGGAGGGGCAGAGAGAGAGAGGGAGACAGGATCTGAAGCAAGCTCTGCACTGTGTATGACCTGAGCTGAAGTCAGACACTTAACCAACTGAACCAACCAGGCGCCCAATAAAAGTACCAAGAGGATGCCTTGATTTCAACTTCAGGTCATGATCTCATGGTTCGTTAGTTCCAGCCCTGGGTGAGGCTCTGTGCTGAGGATGTGTAGCCTGCTTAGGATGCTGTCTCCCTCAAAATAACATTAAAAAAAGATAATGAATAGAACTATGAGCATTATATTTTGAAGCAAGGAGACCCAAGAAACTGTTTCAGTAATTCACTAATCCAAGAGAATGATGATGTCTGAATTAAGGCAGTGGTAGAGAAACAGAAGGGATGGAACAGATTTAAAAGAAATTAACAGATTGGAACCAAAAGTATTGGTATCATTAGTATGTCATTTACGCTGCCTTTCCACATCCTTTCCATATATCAAGGTTAATTCTAAGGAATTACCTCTTCTCTGAAGCCTTGCTTTACTATTCTAGCTTTAATTGGTCTTTTTCATTTCTGAATCAATACAGAAACCATGTTTTACACACCTAGTACTTGGTACTAGCAGCAGTAGCAGCTGTCATTGGATGCCAGACACCAAAACTCTAACACTTGACTTGCATTACCTATATATACCAAATCTGTGATCTAGTTGGAAGCATATGAGGAAACTGAGGTACATGCTCACATAGCCAGTAGCCTAATTCACCCTGTCTCTAAAGCTTATTCATGTTCAGTACAGTGTACTCACTGTTGAGTGTGCACTTGTTCTTGTGGTTGAAAACCATGTCTTAACGCTTTTGTACCTTAATAGCATTAAGCATATAGCAGGTATTTAATACTTACAGATATTTTTCTACTTAGTGTTGCATAAGAAACAATACCAAGAATGGAGTGGTGTTTTGATGATGGCTATGGTATGGTTGTAAATAACCGATTAAAATATCTCCTTTTCAGACCTGGATGGTGCTCTACTCTCAGGGCCAGATTGTGATAGGAATGTGAATACAAATTTATTGGCTGAAGCCAGCTCCAATCAGGATGGAGGTGATGCTGGTAGGTGCAGTAGGATTTTATTAGTAAGAGTATGTTTAAGAGGATTTAAAGATTTGGCATTGTTTGTGTATATGTTTAAGGACCTACTGCAGTTTCTTTACTATCTGTCTGTCTAATCAGTTTATCTATTTATTTTTAAGTAGGCTCCACACCCAGCCAGGCGCCCCTCAGTTTCTTCCCTTAAAGGAGAGTAGCTATGTTTCTGATAATGCTTTGGAAGCCTGGTGAACACAAATAGATGGGTGTTTCTTATTCTTTGTGGGAGGCATTTATTTAGAGATTTTAGAATTCTTAAATATCAAAATAATTAAGTTAATAGAGATGGTGGTTTCCTGCTAGTATATACATGGAATGAGAATGGTAATTATCCAAATGGCTAGTTAATGTATTTTAATTAGCTTTGATATAAAATAATAGTATGATTAGTGATGGCAATACAAAATGTTAATTCTGAATAGTAATATTTCTATCATTTGAACTTTGGGAGAAGTAAAGGCAAAGAATCCATGAATATTCCAGAGAATAACGTGAGTCTAAGTAAATTAGGAGAGGGAAAAGCTTTCTTAACAGAATGCCAAGCTAATAAATACAGAATGATAGAATTGAAAAATAACCCACAGGAAACAATTCAAGATCATCCATGGATGTTAAGCCACTGTTGATGGGCGTATCCCATAATGACTGGGCAAAAGACTGTTGTAATAGCATATTCACATGGTCTCCGTGTTATCCCATAGATTATTTCAGTTACAAAAAAGAAAAGATTTCTTTACAATAAAAAAAACAGAAATAACCTGCCTCTTGCCATAATGCAGTAGCAGGTACACAACATCACCTATGCCAAAATGTTTAACTCAAATCTGATCATGAGGGAGATATCAGACAAGCCTACAGAAATCTAGCTACTCTGGGTTTTTTAAATGTTAATGCCATGAAAGACCAGCAGAAGAACCACTAGACTCCAGGAGACCAACCAAAAGGCATTATCAGTCTTGATAACATCAGTGTTCTAAAATGAGTAAAGGGGCATTTGGGGAACAGTTGGAAATTTGAATATGTAGTATGGGTTAAATGGTAGTTGGGCAATTTTAAATTTCTTGGATGTGATAAAGGTACTGTGGTTATGTTTGAAAAAGCTCTAGAAGATACGTGCTATATTGAGGGGTGAAGTGAATTTCTACACATAAACATTTTCAATGGGGGATGGTCCATATAATCTTTTCAAAAAAAGTAAACCCTTGATTTAAAGCCGTTTCTCTTAGGGGTCATTTTGATCCATGTGCTTTTTATGACTGAGATCAGCCTTTGTCTTAGGATTTGAGTTCAGAAAAACGCTGCTTTCTTCTTAGTTTGCCATTATGGAAAAATGTATCCTGAAGGATATTATTAAACAGTGAGCACAGTTTTGAAGTAGATCTTTAATTACCTTAATGATCTTCCAGTGTATTGAATTATAAAGGCAATACCTTTGTCAAACTGCTCATATACTTCCTATAAATAGTAATTTCTACTGTTAAAAGAATTGGGACAGGTGAAAGAAGTTTGGATTGAGGTTTTCTTAATTTGAATTTTGTATTCTAGATATGGTGTCTCTTGTCTGTTATCCTGGATGTTTATCAGATCTTTAGATTACCTAGAGAAATACAGAATTTCGAGTATTAAAAAGTTTTAATTTTTTTAAGTTCAGTATTTTGAGGAAGTAAAAAATAGTACATGTGTGTTAGCATTCACTAGATACATTTATTCAATAAATAGTTGAAGGGTATATGCTTTGGACATTAGCAATACAAAGGTGAGTAAAACAGGCAAGTTCTTGCTCTCAGCTTTTTTGTACTGATTTCATCAAGAACTACAAGTCAAAGCTCAGGCTTTATGTAGAAGTGTAAAACTGAAAATTGATAGATTTGTGTTCCCAGGCTACCACCCCCATCCCAGTCTCCACCCCCGCCCCACACACACACATATACACACATGATGTCTCACTTTAGGATTCTGAAAACTTACCCTTGAACAGAAGTACATTATAGTTTAATTATCTGATTGTCAATTCAGAAGTCTTTCCTGACATTAAAAAGGTATAAAGGTATTCCAAGTATAAAACAATTTACATTAATAGAAATGAATTTTTTTTTAAGTTTATTTATTTTGAGAGAGAGGGGCAGAGAATCCCAAGCAGGCTTGTGCTGTCATTGTAGAGCCTGATAATGGGGCTCAAACCCAAGAAAGGAGAGATCGTGACCTGAGCTGAAATCAAGAGTTGGATGGCTCAACCAACTCAGCCTCCCCTGTGCTCCGATAATAGTGAAATTTTAAACACCTTAGAGACCTTTTGTATTGTTGGTTAGTGATACTTTCACTGAAGAAGAAATATTAAGTTATTTTAATTTTTTTTAATGTTTATTTTTGAGAGAGAGAGAGAGAGAAGGAGAGCATGAATGGGGGACAGGCAGAGAGAGAGAGGGAGACCACAGAATCCAAAGCAGGTTCCAGGCTCTGAGCTGTCAGCACAGGGCCTGATGGCAGGCCTCAAACTCCTGAACCATGAGATCATGACCTGAGATGAGGTCGGATGCTTAACCGACTGAGCCAGCCGGGCACCCCAAGTTATTTTAATTTTTAAGAGAAGTAGTATATCTGGCAGGTAGATACAGGAAAATAAATTTTTACAAAGTCCTTTTTAACAAGCATTGTTTTATATAAAGTCCATGGTTTTTGTGGGAGGAAAATTAATTACTGCACAAGTGAGTGAGTATATAGCCTGGAAAGGAGTGTTCAGGCAGAGGAAAGAAGAGTTTAAGTGCAAAGGTCTTGCAGAGGGACCCATTTTCCCATGGAGGAACAGTACGGCCGAAACAGATTGACCAGGGGGAGTCGTTAGAAGCAAGGGCTAGAGTAGATAAGGCTATGTAAGATTTTGGAAGTCTTTGGTTTTTACTATGAATGAGATATGGGTAGTCCTTGCAGGCTTTTGAGCAGACCAATGCCAGGCTCTGAATTAAAGTTCTGAAAGAATCTCTAATTGCTTTGTTGAGAGCAAACTGTAAGAGGGCAACATTGTGAGCCTGGATACAAACTCTGATGGCTACTGAAAATAATCCAGAGGCAAGAGTTGATGATTGATTGGATCAGTGTGGCAATAGCTATGGAGAATTCTGGATATGTTTACATTGCCACAGGATTCCTGGATTTAGGGAAATAACATACAGTATTCAAGAAGGAATCTTGTCCAGGGGTGACTGGCTGGCTCAGTCGGTGGAGCATGCAGCTCTTGATCTCAGGGTTGTAAGTTCATTCAAGCAACCACATTGGGTTTTATAAAAAATAAAATCTTAAGAAGTAAAAAGGAATCCTATCCAAAGGAGGTAATTTTTCTCTTAGCTAGTCTAAAGGTCCTCTGGCACAAATTCCTTAAGGGATATTGACTATTCTAATTCTACTTTCTGGATTTAAGGATGGAGTTAGAGAGGTTTTGATGAACTCCCCAAGAGGGCATTCAGTTACCTTGCCCAGTGTGTCTGAAACAACAAACGGGTGTAATAATGCGAGAACCTTGAATTTGTAATTTCCTTGTATTTATTCTTCATTCTTCATCCGTTTTTCTATACTGATTAGTCTTAAAAACAAGATTGTGATATTTTGGGCACAATAAGGACACTATTCCATTCCACAGCTGGGCTTCAGGGCGATAGTCTCAAATGATATAATAATTAGGAGTAACAATTAAGAGTGCTGTTTTGAATGTTTGAAATACAGTATAAAAGAGCACTTTTCTTGTGGCCTCCATGCAGGATTAAATAGTATTTAGATTTATTTCCCTAAATTTTTCTCTACCTGTGGTTGAATTGTGTTTTAAATTTTAGTTTTTCTATTTCAGATGCCTGCCAATCAGGGTTTTATGATTAGGATAATAAATTATGGAAAAAAGTGCAATAAAGTATGCAGACATGTCAATTTTAGACTAAAATGTAGACATTTTTATTTAGCTATTTATATTAAGCTTCTCTATCATAGTGCTCATAAAATATAAATAAATATTTTTTTCTTTTAATTCTAATAAGAGGTGTTTATTACCACCATTATATCAGAATGACTTTTCAATTGTATTAGGTACTTCACATGATTTCAAGTATGGCCTGATGCCTGGCCCTTCAAGTGATTTCAAGTATGGATTGCTACCAGGTACTTCAAATGATTTCAAGTATGGATTGATACCAGGTGCTTCAAACGATTTCAAGTATGGATTATTGCCTGAATCTTGGCCAAAACAAGAAACTTGGGAAAATGGCAAGTATTAGTCATCTAAACATCTACAGATTTTTTAAATTATTTTTAACAATTAAAAGCTTCCATATTCTGGGTTTTAAAAAAATTGAATAGTATGGTAGCCCTATAATAATCCCTGTTCTCAGGGATAGAGACAAGGTTTTGATAGCAAATTTTCTGTTTAATATATAATTGCTTTTTGTGTGTGTGTGTGTTTGTTTCGTTTTGTTTTGTTTTTATTCTCAAAGGTGAATCATCTCTAATCATGAACAAGTTAAAATGCCCTCATTGTAGCTATGTAGCCAAATACAGACGAACACTAAAAAGGCATTTGCTCATTCATACGGGAGTCAGATCATTTAGCTGTGACATTTGTGGAAAACTGTTTACTCGCAGAGAACATGTGAAAAGACATTCCCTGGTAAGTAACTTTAAATATAAATGATCTTTGAGATAAACTATATTCATGTCAGGGAAATTTAAGATATTTTAACACTATTACCTGAAATTTAGGGAAGGTTGATATTAAATAAATTGCCTTAAACAGAGAATGTGATTTATGAACTGAACTTCATACAGAAAAGCAAGGTATATATTCACTCATTGTTGAATGGGTGGTTTGAGTGGTTCAAATGCATTATTGTCTGTACTATCCTTATATTGGATTTTTCCCCCCTTCAATTAGGTGCATAAAAAGGATAAAAAATACAAATGTATGGTGTGTAAGAAGATCTTCATGTTAGCAGCCAGTGTTGGAATAAGACATGGATCTCGACGCTATGGTGTTTGTGTAGACTGTGCAGATAAATCACAACCAGGAGGGCAAGAAGGTGTAGATCAGGGACAGGATACAGATTTCCCTCGGGATGAAGAATATGAGGAAAATGAAGTAGGAGAAGCTGACGAAGAGCTGGTTGATGATGGAGAAGATCAGAATGATCCATCTCGATGGGATGAATCAGGAGATGTTTGTATGTCTCTAGATGATTAACTGACCTATACTCCTCAAGGATGCTGCATTTGGACATAATATGAATCGACAATTTGAATTGTTGAACTTGAAGGCTTGCAAAATATGGTACATGCTGGATGGTAGTTATGTTGCTGTGAAAACTGTAGGGTCAAAAAGCCTTATAGCAAAAAAAAAATTTTTTTTTTTTTTATATTTGCACAGGACTGTACAGCAAACAACCTTGTGGTTGGATTACATGGAGTCCCATCTTCAGTCAGTTATCAAAAATATTTTTTATTTATAGGATATACAGTAACTATTTGGGTCCTATGAATATATAGTACGTGTCCTTAAAGAGCTTACATTCATGTGCCACTTTAACATGAATGAAGAAAACCCATTTATGAGACTACAGTGACAGCTGACCCAATTACTCTGTCCATCAAACCACTCAGGCTAGTTTGTACTAGTAGAGTTTTGTTTCTATTTTTATTTTTATTAATTTTATTTTTTTTAATACAGATTTTCAGTGAGGGGCCTTTTCAACCCCATGGGTTCTACCTTTCTGTATTTTTCCATTTTAATTTGCTTCATAACTTAAACCAAGTCTCTTCTAGTCTTAGGTATTATTTCTCAATTTTGTGCTGATGGGCATGTTTATAAGAACTGGAGAGGTAATTTATTGGAATGAACTAACTGACTTCCTCCATTCCCCCTTTCCTTTTTGACATGAATTTTACTACTTTACAAATGAAGAAATGATGTTGCAAAGTTAACATGGCGAAGTTGACAAATACCACTAAAATGATTATGATCTAGAAGTAACTTTCTCCTGCTGCTGTAATCGATAAATGGTTACTATATGACGTTTTCTGATATGGTATTCGGTTTTGGGTATCTGTTACTTTGGCACTATTCTGGTTTGCCTCTTTTTATTTTTGCCAGTGTACTATACCTCAGTCCTATATGAAAAGACAGAAATCTAATCGAAAGAAAAGTCGTCATAGAAACAATAAGGAAAATGATTTGTCTCCTAATTTGACCTCCATGTCCAGTTTGGTTAGCTTGTTATGCAATATAAGTGAAATATCAGGTTTTTATTCCTGTGCCCTTTTTATCATTAAAAATAACACAAAAAGTGCATTCTCTTTTGTTTGATACTTACTGGGATATTGAACGTTTTGAAATTATGATAGATCATTATTTTTTCAATTCCTCAAAGTTACTACATCTTCATATATAGTCTTTCTGGTAGTCATCATTCAACAATCTGCAAAAATCTTACAAATAAGATATTGAGAGGCTTTACAATTATTCTGTTAACTAAATTCTTCAGGGTACAAGGGGTGATGTATTAAGTTGAAATTGTCAGATTTATTTAGCCTAATGACAGATGAATTAGCTGATTGTTAAACTCACAGCAGCATTTCACATAATATTAACATGCATGACATTTATCAGGAACATATTGTATATTATATAAGATTGAGGGATATCATATTTTCAGCTTTCTTTTAAATAGAAATTGAGTATATTTTCCTATTTTATATCAGGTCACTAAATTATGCTATTTGTGTGGAAAAAATTGCAAAGTATACTTTGACAGACATAATCCTTTTGGTGCTCCATCTGATCAAAGTTGAAAAGCTGATAGGTTTTTTAAGAGACAAGCTTTCTCATTGTCTCCGACTTCAGTACTATAATGGTTTAATGTTAGACATTGATGTTTTTGCTTGGATAAATCAAAGATATAAAATACAGTTACATGGTTAGATACATCTTTTGTCATCTAAACTTTATTGTAGTTTCTACATAATTGTAAAACTGACATGAATAGTTTGGTTTGATTTTTGTTTAAGACTGAAGAGTACATCTTATTCTCAGTGTTCTAGACAAATGAGTATAATGTAATTCTGGTGGGGTCCAAAGTAGACGTTAGTTGGGCAAAGATACTATGAATGAAAAAGTATTTTAAACGTAAAATGTTCTGCTTTGTGAATATGTAAGTATAGTATAAAGATTTCTTTCATCCCATTATCCCCCTCCTTTAAAATAAACCATAGTTTACAATTGGTAGATCTGTCTATATATAAATATATATTAAAGAGAAAAGATATATATCTGAAAATCACCTAAATCTGCTTTATTAGACTACAGTTCACTTATTGCATAGAAACTGGACTTGGCTTTACATTCTTAATGTACTTTTACTTTTCCTCAAGATATGAACTTACTCTCTTTAAACTGAATTTTCTTTTACTACTTAAATCATTTATGTATATCTGGTAAATTATGACCAAATTTTTGTTAGATTGCATACAGTAAATTGAAATACACACTTGGTACACTACGGGATTGTTGTGCTTTTGTTTTGGTTTTAGTTGGAAACAAGGTTTGATGTAGATGGCTTGTTACTGTTAATTTAAAATATTCTATAATTGTCCATTACTTTTTATGTTGTGTTGTGACAGATTTGGCTATATTTTTAGTCAACTGAAATATGATACTTTAAAAGTTTGTTTTTAGAAAGGTAATCCAAAGGAATAATGTTTATACTCTTGAATATATTAGCCTCAGCCTATATAAAAATTTCTTCTTTAAAGTAAACATTTTACCAGAAACAGAACTGACAGATTTTTCTACTTGCTGACTGCCTAACTTATTTTGTTTCATGATCTCGAGGGACTGCCTTTTCCCTTCTAGGTCTTTTTTTAAAAATAGTTTTAGTACTAAGGTATACTACTGGACTTTTTTTTTTTTTAAAGTATATTCTTTTTCTGACTTACAGTACAATTTCAGGAAGTTGATAGATAATAAGAACTTATGATTGGTCTCAAGGTGACAATGAAATACTCATAATTTTGTCTGTGGAGCCCTGGCAGAATTATGTGTTATACATTTGCTGAATTTTTCTCTTGTAACTTATATTTTAAATGAGAAGCATATTTTAGAGCTTGTAATTTTAATGAAGAGGAAGAATATAAACTTTCTTTCCTATTTGCTCTAGTAACAGACCCTCTCATATAAATCAAGATCATGTATTATTTCTTAGAATTCTCAGAGACAGTTACTTCCATATGGTCCCTGCATTGTTGTTATTGGCCCTCATTATTCATATTCACTAGATGTTTTGCTAAATTTTAGCACCCCAGCAATTAAGAGCTTAAAAAAAACTGTAGGAAGGGGAAGCTGAACACTAATGAATAGCTTTGAAATTTGAGGGGGGGAAGGGAAACACTAGCTGGTTTTGGTAGAGCCATCCTGCTGGAGAAGAGAGAAATGAATGAGTTAATTCATGTAAAGCGCTTAGAACAATGTCTGGTGCATAATAGGAGCCTAATACATCTTAGTTTAATAATAGATGTGAACCAAGAGGAAAGGGAGAGAAAATAGAAAATGAAAGGATCAGGGTTGGGAAATTTATATTCATACAGTACAGTTGTAAAAGGCCTGAAGATGACTGGAGGAGTATAATACGGGGCAAAGTGTGATGGAAGAGGAGTTTTAAAAAATAAATTTAAAAACTTCGGTAAGCTTTATGTATATTTTAAAGATTTTGTCAACATAGAAGAGTTTATTTTTCTGGATAATGATTCAAAAGCTACCATTGTTTTAGTGCCTACATGTGCCCTTGCGCTTTACATTATTTTGTCTAATTCCCTAAGGTGGGTGCTATTGTCTCCATTTTATGGAAGAGAAAAGGCTCCAAGAAATTTGCATAACATAACTTGCCCGATGTGACACAGCTACTAAGTGGTAGAGCTGGGTTTTGACCAGATCTGATTCTGAAGCCCATGTTCTTTTTAGGGGGCTCTATTAACTGCCTCATTAAACTTTTGTAGAATTTCAGTGCTTTAAAAGCAGGTTGTGTATGGAGACATGTTCTCCCCATAAAACATCATACGTTAGGAATTTGAGTGTCTAATCTTTCCTCCCCCTCAAATATCCTTATCAGTCTTTTCCTCCTAATACAGCAGTTTTGTCACCTGACTATAAATAAGACACCTGACCTCAGTGTAGCACATGCTATTAATTGGCTGTGGCATTTTTATTTTTAAAAGGATGGTCTTAAAGTGAAGAACTAGATGCGAACCCCAGTTTTTGTGCCGTTCAGTCACCCAGATCCTTAAACTTAACTATGGTACATAATATATGTGCTTAGAACTAACAGGTGTTTTTTCTTAGTCACTTTAGGATTTAAAATGGAAAGTTTTTTCCTGCTGTATCCCTGCTTTCAAATGAAGCTGAACAGTTCTTAGATAGTTTAAAATGTGTTAGGGATAAGCACACTTTAAAAGATGTTTTCTGGCCCTGAATTTTATGACATTGGGTACTTAATTTGGAGTACACTGGCTATTGAGAACAAAATTTTGGGTTGAGGAGAGGGATGGTTGAGGCCATTATGAAATGGGAGAATCAGCATTTTAAACACTGTAAACATAAAAGAACGCTTTCTTCTGCCTGCTGTTTGTAAAAGCTCTTGGGGAAGATCTTTTACGAAGACCAATTTTTTAAATGTAATTTACCTACCTAGTATAAGTGTCCTAAGACATGTATGTAAACTTCCAAAACTGTTTTGTCTGTGTATTTAGAAAATACACAAGAATCTTTATCAAACCTAAAAATATAAACTTGTGAGCACTAAACTTGCTTCTGGCTTTGTGAATTTTGTTGACTCTGACATTTAATTCAGGTTTCTTTGAAAGTGTATTAATTTGGACTCTTTGGGGTAGGGGAGCACCTTTGTAAACTTTGACTTATGTATAATTCAGATATCTTTGTACGTAAGGTTTACAAGTTTGAATTACATAATAGGGTTTTTTGGTTTGTATGTTTTTATATGAAGTGCATAAATGACTCAAACTACCTCCTCGTAATGCTTGGAGAGCTGCTTTAATTCATAGATAGCAGTGATTTGTAATCAGCATTTCATCTATCTTTTAATCTTTATTTTGGGATTCTTTACAGGTTTTAGAAAACATTAAAATATTTCCCCTCTAATTTACACGTGTGCATAATTTTGGAAGTGGATTGAAAAG